TATGTTTTTCCTTACGAGACTGCTCATTACTATTTATTATTCTCTTATTTTACTAAATTGGTTTTATTTTATTTTATATGTTGCTTGTTGTCAGGGGATGCCAACATTGAAAGTCAGGAGGAAATGTAGTGGGGATTCTGGTATCTGATTAGAACAAAGGTTTTTCTGGTCTGAGTAGAGTGGTATCCAGTTCCAGGATTTCCCATCCCAGTCCCAGATTCCTGTCCCAATTCCTGTCCTGAGGATGGGATCAGATTGAAGCTCAGCTTAATAGGATGGGACCAGGTTGTTTAACAGCATATTGGGACAGTTCTGTGGGAACTGGGATTGGAATGGAATTGGGACCAGAATCAAAATCTAGCTAGTAAAACAGGCCCAGGACCTGATATGATAAAATAAGATAGGACTGGGATTTCAATATTGTATATGGGACAGGATCAGTAAAGTGTAGGATGGGATCAGAAACTCTGATCCCATTTATGTTGTCAAAAAGTAACAAAATTTGGTAACAGTTCTAACATAATTTTATTAATTTATTTAACTTTGGAAAAGTACTGAAATTTGGTAATGCTCTTTGCATAATTGGATCATATTGCAAGCTATTAGCTACTTGAGTCTATCTATTGATAATGTTGATGTATTTTCTGTTTCTCATCTGGATTAAGTAGTGGATTTAGCAGGCTTGCAATCTTTTTCTGTACAATCTCTGAAGTATCTTAATCATCTTGATTATCTTGAATGACTTTCTTGGCCAACTTCTCATGCAATATGAGTGCTTCATCTAGCATATGCATCTTATCTCCATGTTTAAGCAGCATGATCTTCTTGATTATAGATGTATGAAGCTGTGATTATCAATAATGACATGTATTCTGAGCAACATTAAAAATCTATTCTAACCCAACCTCTGTTAAAGATATAGCCAGAATGTTCCTTGCCATTCAAGTAACAGTTAGAAAATCAGGCTCTAGCATCCTCCACTGTTCCAAAATTAAAGCTTGAGATGATGTCAAGTTCTCATCATTTAAATATCACTTCATTTCATTTTGGAAATTTGCTTATCTTTGATGAGGTCTCTCAAAAATCATTTACTTAATATTTTAGAGAAGTTAGCAGAGAAGAAATTAGAATAATACTTATAACAAACATACATTATTCACATCAAGTATTATTTTTCTTGGCTGTTCATATTTCTTATAATGCTTTTTGTAAAACCTCAAAATATATTGTTGATATGTTTCACACTCATCACTGGTCTAATTCTCTGAATCATATGCTCTCATGTGGTGTGATGAATGAAGAGCAATAGCTACAGCTAGCAGCTTACTCTTTGGATGCTCAGTATCACTATAGTATTTCTGGAATTTCAAGTTGGCAGCTTTGATAGCTTCTTGAATATTCTCTCTTGTTGTTAATTATTGGGTCTTGTTCTTCTCTCTTTCTAAATACTGGAAAAGATGATTGTACATTGCTTATACTAGATAAATTGTTGGGTCTGTTGTTTTAAACAGTATCTTGATAAATCAACTGAATGGCTGCAACAGTCCAACTATATACTCTAGCTGCTTCCAGTTATGGTTCAATAAGCAAAGTCTTTGGTATTTTGGTGATGAGTTCTGGATTCATAAGTTCACAGCTTGTTAAAGCAACAAGATATAAACACACATCTTATAGATAGAATTTCATCTTGTACAAACATCTTGAATTATCTTGTGCTGGTTCTCTTGTTAATATTCTCAGAAACATGCAGTGAGTTAGGAGAAGATATTGATTGTATTGGCAACAAGACAAATCTATTGTTAAGCAAAGATTAGTAAATCAACTCAAGTATATCAAGACTATTATCAAATTTTATTATCTTTCTAAGAGTATTTGCAAATGTGTCTGTTGATGCTAGATCATTAGTAATTAAGCTCTCATTAAAGATAGTGAGTAGAGTATTATTGTCTGGCTGAATCTTGAGATTGCAAACCAGCTCTCAAATCACAAGTTGAATTATATAAGCAAGACAGAATATTGTTCCACTCTCTATATTTCAATCAGTTATCTTGTTCAACTGCTGCAATGCTGGTCTTAACTAATATGTAAGATGTGCTTACATGGTATTATTGTTTGACATATTGTCACTTGTAATTATAAGAAGATTACTCTCAAGTCTTCATGCTGCTAGTGATTATTGAAGAATCTCTGCCATATTCTTGTCAGTATAAGCACTCTCTAAACTTTCAAAACTCAGTAAATGCTCACAGTACTCCCAATTCTTTGTAATGTAATAACTATTAATTACTATAAAGACAAGGTTATTGGGACTTGTCCAATTATTCACTGCCAGAGATATCTTGGTTGTTGAATCATGGTTAAAGAGAAGATTTTGGAATAGCTGATTATACATATCATTCATAATCTGATATAATGTTTCTTGTGTGAGTATCTGTAAAGCCATTGCAGGGTTAAGCATGGTTATTTATGTGTGGAATGCTGGATTCTTAATAGCATAAAATAAGAGATTCAAGAATATTAATGTTTGCACAAGCTGCTGGAGAAAATTATCTCAATTATATTCAGAAATAGGCAGATCTGAATCTGTTTGAGAATACTTCAGAAACTGTTGCTAAGACACCAAGACTATTACTAAAATTTATTACACTTAGAAAATTAAGATTCATGATCTATCATCATGTTAATCAGAGTGTTATCTTGTCCATCATCAGTTTTTGTACAATCTTTACTTGTTAAATGCTTCTTCAGACCACTTGTATTGTTTTGAGAAAAGCTTGAATAACTGAGAAAGATTTGATAATGCTTGCAAATTATCTCTAAAGTCCTCTTAGAATACTCTGTCATCTGATCAAATTTTTACCAAAAATCAGAATAATATTGCTTTGTCTTTTAGTTGGGGTCACCATACTTCTTATCATTAATCAACTGAGCAGCTTCAGTAGTCAATCATCAAGTAACAAACAACTTATAATGCAGCTTCTTCCACAATATAAATTATTTTTTTTCATGTTGAACTATGATTAATTCTGAAGAAATCTCTGTAGATTTTGCTTGTTTGCTGGCTTCAGTTATTAGATTTTTCTTTTTTTTTTTTTTTTTTTATAATTAAATTGATTTTTCTCTGCCCATGCAAAATTTAATAATCTCTAGATAGTTAGTCTTATTTTACTCTGTAAGTACAGCAATCAACTACAAAATCTTCTTCTTCTACAAAATGAAACATTCTTCTTCAGGAAAATAAAACATTTTATCAATTTAATAACAACCCATTCTCAAGTTAATATGAAAAAAGAACTAAAAATCTAACTTTCTTCTCTAGATATCAATAATCTAATCATTCTCTGTCTCATTGTCCTTCTCATCATTCTTATCAGAGAACACCACAACCTCAAAATCATCTTTCTCTATCTTCTCTAGGGCAGGTGAGCTGTTGTTGTCTTCACTCAGTCTCTATAATTAATCCAGAAATTCTCTCATCTCCTTCTCAACCCTCTCTCTTGATACACTGACTGCAGCAAGATAATCATAACTATGGACTATGATCTTGATCTCAAGTCTGGCTATTATTTGGCAGAATTGAGCCTTTCTATATGCAGCAATAGAATGCTGCACCTGGCTTGTTTTGATCTAAATATATCAGAACTATTACCAAATTTTATTACTTTTGAATTCTATCTTCTTTTTCTGCCAAGCTTCATTCTCAGTCTTTGTGATCTCTTCTCAGTGATACTTCTTCTCTTTCTCTCTCTTCTTTTACTGAGAGACCATGAGCTGATGCTTATAGTACTTCTTTAACTTGCTCTTGGCAAATTGCTTGACCATTAACTCTTCAATAACTTTATCTTCAACTATCTTGTAATTCTTCTCACTGCTATTCTGTCTGCAATGGATGTTAATATAATTTAATGCAAATTACTGAGAGTGTATACCACTTATGTTTTGCTCAGATTCTCTTCAGTATGTCATGATATATCTTGTAATCTATCTTTCCTGTCTTGAATATATCTTTTTAATAATCTTTCAAGACCTGGTGGTGCTTCTGTGCTGCATGGGTCTTCTCTCTTATTAAATATTGTTTTGGCCCTATCTTCACAATTATATGTGATGAGTTGAATTGCTGGCTACAGAATAATGAGATTATAAAGTATATTAATCAAGTACTTGCATAGAATGATTACTATACACATTGTTTATATTCTACAGGCATGTTGCTATAGGCAAGCTCAACACATTGTTGCTATGCTGGCTACAGAATAATGAGATTATAAAGTGTATTGACCAAGTACTGTAGAATAGTTACTATACACATTGTTTACATTCTACAGGCATGTTGCTATAGACAAGATTAACATGTTGTTGCTATACTGGCTACAGAATAGTAATATCAGGTCAGTCTCTCTTCTTTTCTCTTTCTCTTTCTCTTTTTCTTCTTTTTCTTCAGAGCTAATATTGATGATTCCTCTCCTCTCTCTTCTCTTATCATCTTTTTATTTACTGCACTTTAACATCTATGTGTACAATGAATATATACTGCAACAAAATAGATTGTGTTAAGAGATGAGTACTTGCAGAATACTGCTCTAGTGTACATTGTTTACTGACAAGATGTTAGTTTTTCCTGTGCACATTCATTTCATATAGCTGGAGAGGAGTGGCACAAGACCATATTGAAAGAATGGGCCCTGAAGAAGAGCAATTGGTGTAAAGTTAATAAAGATGTTGACCTGGCCAACTTTAACTAGGAGAATCTCTGCCCCTGCCCCCCCATTCAAAATTGGAAGGCCAGCACTTGTATGTCAAAAAGTAACAATTTTTGGTAACAGTCTTGATACTAATTGGTGAAAATAGGTGTTATCAAGGAAATCCACCACTTTCAGAGCTCTATCAAGCTAATCTTGCTGGTGGTTCTGTTCCAGCAATTGATTCAGAAAATTACTTTATTCTGTCATCAAGAACATAAATATTGCTGGCAATGTACTGCTATTAAGTTATTTCAAAAAATGGCTGAAGCAATCTTGTGTATTCTGTTTAAGTGTAAGTTATTCTTAGCAATGGCATCAATAATTATACTGAGTAATATAGATTCTGTTATGGTAATGGTGCACTGTAAGTATATTATAATCAACACTGACAATATAAAGCTTGTTCTTGGTATTGATGCCAAAATTGGGTCAAACTATTTCAGTCTGATTGATGTGTCTGATCACCCTGTCTCTGCCATCATTACTCACTGTCTGTGTGCTGCCCCTGCCCTGCTAACTACTGCTGCCACCACTCTACCACCACTGCCACTGCCTACTACTGTCTTTCTGCCTCCCTCTGGTGCCATCAGGGTCTTCACCTGTCAAATAGTGGATATTAGAGCCTCTGTCTGGTTCACAAAGCCAGTTCTGGAGGAGCAGGAGGAGGAGAAGAAGAAGAAGAAGAAGAAGAAGAAGAAAAAGAAGTAAGAGAAGAAGAAGAAGAGAGAGAAGAAGAACAATAATAATAATAAAGATGATGATGATGATAATTAACTTGCTATTTAGATAGTTTCTGTTTATTTGCTAGCTTCAGCTATTAGTTAGTTTTAATACTTTGTTTTTTTTGATAATTAAATTGATTTTTCTATGGGTTCTGCCTTCATCAAAAAAGTAATAAAATTTGATAATAGTCCACACAAAATTTGATCAGTTTAACTCTTTCCTATAAATTTGACATGATGGAACCAGGAATTCTGGTCCCATTTCAGTCCCACTATGAACCTGGCTGAAATGGGAAATGGGAGTCTACTATCTCTGCTGGGATGGGATGTGGGACATAATTTTCTATTTGAGAATGGGACCAGGAAATAATTTCTGGAATAGAAATAGAAATGGGACCTCAAGCTCTTAAGTGGGATGGGACATGGGACTGAGATTTCATATTTGGGATCCCAGCTGTTTCTAAATTTGGGACCAGAACCAGGTTCAATGGGAAATGGGATCCTATCCCAGTCCTGAATACCAGCCTAGGTCTGAGGCACAAATCATCTCAAAGCTACTATTCTTGAGCTATATAAACCACCTGTAGTCTCTGTATCTTGCTTATTATCTTCACACACCATTGCTCTTTTCTACACACTTATTCCTTACTACCAGTTTGATTATTAGTTAGAGAATATGAAGATTTCTTGTTCATGAAACTTGCTACTGTTCCTTATTAGAGCTGCCTGTGTTAGTATGGGGCTCTTTAGTACTATTACTTCTTGTCAGCTTAGGCATCTGTTAGAACATATCTATCTCTACACTTAATACTCAATCATACCCTTACTATGTTGTGATTTTTCACCTTTCTTGCGCTCTCACCATATCAACCAACTCATCTATCTTGACAAGGAATCCCATCATACCCTGCTCCAATAGCTAGATATTATGGCCATCCAACTGACTATATAATTATTATAAAGATGTTCTACCTCATCTCTGGTATAAATAATTCATTGTAATATTGTTAAGTAGAGCAGTAAAAAGAATGTATCCAATAATTTACTGAAACTTTTCAGTTGCTGATGAGTATTCTTGAATATTTTAATTACTTAGTTAATTTTTTCTCAGATTCTCCATCAGATTTTGCTTTTCTATTTGCCATCTCTTGTTGAAGTTTAGAGAAAAACTTATTTGCTAGTGCTGTACCAGTGTTCATTATTATCATTATCATTATTATTATTATTATTATTCATTATAGTCTTATGCAGTCAGTGACTATGAAGACTACCTAATAACTTCTCTGTTAGGATTTACTTAGTATACATTGTAGAAACTAAATAAAGGAAAAAATTCAAAGTATTTCAAGGCAATATGAGATGTTCTTTCTCCACAAAAGTCAAATAGTAGATAGAGCATAATATTAATTTTAAAGAAAAATAATAATTCTTGTAGCAATGTGATACAAATCAAAAAGAAATAAAATTAGCATATTTGGGAAAGCCACTATCCAGTAGCTATTCCAGTACATTTCAGAAATAAAACTAGCTATTTTAGGCCTAATTCAGTTTCAAAAATAAAATTTAAAGATAGTTGAGAAATATCAAGTTCTTGTTGAATTTTTCTTCTTTCAGTATAATAGGCTGAGCAGTCTAATAGTAAATGCTTTGGATTTTCAACACAATTACAGAAAGAGCATAAATTGAAAGAGTAGTCAGATAATCTTATTAGATAAGATCTGAAATATCCATGACTAAGCTTTAATTGGCAAATAGTTAACCATATCTTCTTAGATATAGAAAGAGTAGATGCTTTCCATCTGGATCTTATTTTGAATTGAGAGTAGTAATTTGTAGAACTTTTTCTATTAAAAAGATCTTCAAACCACTCTATCATGGCTTGTTCTTTTATTTGTCTTTTTATATAAGTAAGAGATATATATCTTTCAGAACAAACTTGATTCAATTCTGTAGCTTTTTTTGCTACTAGATCAGCTTCTTCATTTCCATGTATATTTACATGTGCAGAAACCCAATAAAGATGTAGATTAATTTGCTGATTTTTAATAGACTTAGCAGTTTCTCTTATAGATTGAAGCTAATATAAGCCAGAATTAAGATCTTGATTCATGAGTCTCTGAATAGCAGCTTGACTATCAGAAAACACCCAGATATCTGATATTGATCTTGATTGAGACTGAGAGATAGAACTTGCTAATTTAAATGCTTTATCTATAGCAAACAGTTCTGCATCAAAGACTTCAAGATATTTTTCTAGATTCCATGAAAATCTAATATTATCTTGTAGATTGTATATGCCAGCACCAGCATATTAACTTTCTTTGGCTTTAAATCCATCTGAATAGAGAATTAAAGATCTATTATCTAGATTTTTAATTTTATTTATATGACTATCTTTAGCTGTTTTCTTGTCTGAATTTTCAATTTGAATATCTATCAAATCAGCTAGATTTTCAGACCAAGGTGCATTCCATTTTACTTTGATTTTCTCTGTTTTTAAAAAAGGTAATATATTTGAAATCATTGAACAAATTCTGAATAGTTGACTTGGATAACTTTTTTTGTTTATTGATTTTTCTTCTTTTTCTTTTTCTTTTAGTTGATGTTTGTACAACATATTCATTATTTAATTCTGATTGATTCCAATCCAAAAACCTTTCCCAATCAAGATCAACACCATTATTATAAGGTGGAAAGCTAGAAGATACTCTTTTTCTAATTGCATATTCTTTTAGCATTTTTAATAGTTTATAAGCATAGTTTCAGTATTTGAAAGTCTGATTATTTGATTAAAAACTCTTTCAGCAGCTGATATCTTAATTTCAACATGGTTCTTGAAAGTAAGAGTATTGTCAAGCCAAATACATAACTATCTCACTAGCTTTCTTGGTTTAAAAACTTGATCATGTAGTTTAACTGAGTTATCTTCACTAAATGATTTAGTAAAGTGGATTAACTCAGTCTTTTCCATATCAAATTGAACTACATGAGGATTTTGTCTATTAAACATTGCTTGTAAAGATTTATCTAACTTAAAGCAGTTTTCTTCTATTGAGGAAGAGAAGATAACAAGTCCAGTATCATCTATATAACTAGAAATTCTGATACCTTTAAGATCTAGATCATTATTATTCTTAAAGAGAAATATAGTATATATAGAGAAAAGTATTGGAGATAGAGATGAACCTTGAGGAATTCCAATATTTATAGATATCTTTTCTTGTTGTTTCTCACCATCAAAAACCAGTTGGATTTTTCTTGTTTGTATAAAATGAAAAATCCACATAGCTAGTGATTTAAATAGTTGCAAATCAGAGAAGACTTTTAAGAGTCTATTTAGTGAAACATAGTCAAATGCTTCTTTTATATCAATAAAAAGAGCTGGGGCTACCAATTTATTGGCTTTTGCTAATTGAATATCATGTACTAACCTCATTACAGCATCTATAGCAGAGCATTGCTTCTTTCCTCCAAACTGATCAAAATATAGTAGTTTATTTTAGGAGGCCCAATAAGAAAGTCTAGAAGCAATAACTCTCTCTATAATATTTCCCAAGCAGTTAAGTAGAGAGATGATTCTGTAAGATTTTAGTAATAAAGCTTTTTTATTTGGTTTCTTTAGAATAACTCCAGTAGCTTCTCTCCAGATTTCTGGATGATATCCTTTTTCAAATAGTATAGAGTATAACTTGAAAAATCTATCTTTAAGTACTGGATAGATTTTTTGTAGTATAAGAAAGGATATACCATCTGGGCCAGGTGTACTGGTTTTGGAGCCTGAAAAAATAAAGTTCTTGATCTCTATTTCTTGAAGATTAGGCCATTCCTAATCTGGATTTTCATGATATTCATTCCAATTTATTGGTGGATAACTTGGTGGTTCTCTGAAAAGAGTTTTTATAAAAGCATTGCATTTCTCTTTAAATGAAATAGCTTTATTTTCTATTTCATTTTCAGAGTTTGAGAATTCTAGAATAGGAGTTTTTTCCACTCTTTTTTCTTTGATATATTTATATGCTTTAAAAATCTCTTTTTCTTGAGCATTCTCCAGAAATTCATTTCAACAAGATGACTTTGTCTTTTTAATAGCATTAAAGTAGTCATTTCTAGTTTGTTGAAAGAACTCCAAGCTAACTTGCTTATTCTTCAGTTCTCTAAAGGCTTTTGTCATAGCTTTTTTCTTGGTTTTTAGCTCATTGTTCCACCAAGGCTTAGATCTTTCAGTTATTCTCTTTTTGGAAATGTGTTTCTCAATAGAGATTTGAATTAGATTTCTTAATTTAATTGCTTCTAATTCAAGTTCTGATGAAGTATTTTCTATTAAAGTTCATTGAAATTCTTCTTTTTCTAGATTTTGAAGAAGAGATTTATTTACTTCATCCCAATTAGCTTTCTGAAAGTTATATTGATTTGAATAAAGTGGATTTTCAACAAGATTTTCAGTATTTAGTTCAATACTGAATTGAATAATTTCATGATCAGAGCCAGAGTGAAGAGCTTCATCAATCCACCACTCATGTATCTTTTGAGTTAAGTTGGTGAAGAAGAAGGTCAAATCTATAATTGATTTAAATGATAGATTTGGTCTGAAGAAAGTTTCTCTGTCTATCTCATTTATTAAATTCATATTATTCTCCTCAAGCCATTCTACTAGTTTTTCAGCTCTAACTGAATTGACTATACTTGAATTCCACCATGAATGGTGAGCATTCATATCTTCAGTAACAATAGAGTATTGAGAAGCTGAGATATTTACTAGTTCTCTCTCAATAGTCCAAAGATTTGAGTTGTCCTCTAGATCTTTTTGATTATAGATATTTATCAGTTGTATGGTTTCAAACTAATTGTATTTATCTTTAATATCTATAACTAGAAGATCACTACTAGAGCATATGTCACATCTTAAGCAGGTTTGATATCTGGACTGTTTTCTAGCAAAAATAGGTACTCTAGATCTCAAATCTTTATTCTCAGGAAGAATGCAAT